AAATTAGTTGATGTGCTGCCAGATGAAAACCTAGCAACCTTTTACTGTGATGCAAGGAGAGTAGTGTCTGGAAAGTTAGTTGACAAATATAACAATTTAAAATCAAAATTTAAGGAGGGCTCAGGGTCATGTCAGTCAGACAGGCGCACTGCTGCTAATCAGCCACCTTCTACATCTGGAAAAAGTATGTTGCTTCTTTATAAAATGAAAATTAAGATCTGTTAGGTGGTTTTACTTTATTTGACAGAAATTTGTATTGATATTTTATTAATCTTGTTCTAGCGTACACTTCTGAGGAAAGGCAGCAGAGCCTTGCGTGGTTCAATCGCACTCCCTGGCCAGAAGTACTTCGCCACTGGGAAACAATCTATCAGGACCGAGTAAAATTGTTGTATCCTCGCCCCAAATCTAAAAAGGAGAATAACATTGCACCATATTATAGAGAATATCCAGTCCTTACTGACAAGGCAGGCTGGCAGTTGGTGAGTTACACACTGTTCTTTTCTTTATCTACTTTAGGATCCTTGATGTAATAATCTTATATCTCGCCGTTTACAGCTAGTTGCTGATTTTGAAAGGTTGTTTCCTGATAAGACTGGTTGTCTTTTTGCTGTATGGCCAACAATTGAGGAGGCAATTTTTGCTTGTGCTTTGCAGTCGACAAAGGATCAGTTTGCTAAAGAAACTTTGGCAAAGTTGCAAGGCTCATCAAACATCACAGAAAGTAGGCATTCTATTGTATAAAATGTTCTATTGTTTATAGATATGTTTGCTAATTGGGGGTTGGTTTATCTCTTCTACATTATTCAGATGCTAAAATTATTCTGCACTTGATGCTACTTCCATCACTTTTCAAAACTAATACATCAGTCCAATTTCCATCCGGCAAGAGTGATGGTCCCAAAAAGTTCTGGAAGCCCAGTCTAGCTGAATCACGTGATGGTTTCATCTTGCATGTTAAGGCAATTATATGTTGTACTTATTCACTCCACTGCAATTATCAATGTATTCTGTAGGAATTTTTAAGATTTCTATACTGATTTATACTATTTTTGCACTACACTTTTGGAAGATCTCCCTTAACCAGTTATTTATTTTTGCAGGATGACAGTGATGTTAAACAAAGGCTTGACGACCGCCAAAAACACATGGCAAAGCTAGATCTAAAGTGTCAGCCATTAGTTGTTATTTGTGGGCCAACCCTTTTGAACTTCACGCATTGTCAAGTGTCTATTAATGGCATATTATATACTGTTCCTGGACCGCTCCAAGCTGTGGACGTAGCTTTCAAAGCTTTCCAAGTGTTGAATGCTTGGTACCCGCTTGAAAGTGAACAGACGTGGCTTTTTCTTCAAAGAGAAGTTTAAAAGATTATTTACAGTTCTGACAAGATGAGTCCAGGGTATGAGACTACCCTTGGTGCATTTAAAAGACAATTAAAGTAGTCATAGAAAGAGAGACGTGTGTAACTCAAGTGTTTTTTCACTTAATTTCTCTTGAATTGTCAAGAAACTTAATTTTGTTTTTTCTTAAAAGAGATTTTTGTTGTTAAATATTAACAAGTTGTTTACTTTTTTCATCAGTGCTGATTATTTTTCAGCAATTAAAACTGATAATGTGTCTTTGTCTTTTCTGTGTTCACCATGCCCCAACAGTCAAAGATCTTTTGGGTCACTTGCGTACAGAACATTCTGCTATTGTGTCAGCAGGTTTGTCATCATATGGGTGTAGGCAGCCAAACCCTCACTGTGGGGGGAGGTGGTTTGACTCCTTAAATTCCTTAGCACACCACCTGCGCAAGGACCACCCACTTCAAGCTGTACAAGAAGTAAATCAGTTATTGGATGTTGACATGCCAGGTGAAGAGGAGATTGCTGAGCAGGAAATCAACAATGATCCTGAACCTGGTGTCAACCATCCTGACCATGAACCAGGTATTGCACAATTTGTAGACTCGTATTGTGGTGGTGTGTTAGGATTTGTATCAAAGCTGTATAGTTTACCTCATGTTAACCGGGGCCTTGTTGATACTGTTTTAAATTGCGTAGATGAATTTTTGATGGCGGGACATTTGGAAATTATACAGACTCATGTTGAAAGAATTTTCAATAATGTTGAAGGGCACGAGGAGGATAAAACTGCTGTAAGACAAATGTTTTCTGTCATGAGAAACCCTTTTAACCACTTAGCTACAGAACATCAGAGGTTCTCTGTTTTATCTGAGACATGTCCTTCCTTGAAGCCAACTGCTTATTTCATGGGCCAGCGCAATAATGAAATTGTACGAAGGGGTGGTGTTATGCTTCCTGAGCAAGTACGTGTGTATGGCCAAATGGTTCCTCTTCGCCATACACTGAAAGAATTTCTTGAGTTCCCCGGTGTGTTGCAGGAAATTCTGAGCCACATGGATTTTTTAAACAATGAAAATAACAATGTTTCAAATATCGCTCAGGGTACACTGTGGAGAGATCTTTCTCAAAACTTTGGAGACAAATTAGTGTTGCCCTTGAATTTACAGTATAATGATTTTGTTCCAGACAATTCCCTGATGGCTCATGGTGGGGACACTGAACTAGGCCCTGTATACTGTAACATCCCCATTTTACCAGGAAAATTTTTAGGTGCATTGGAGAACATCTTTGTAACTTCAATATTCTTTAGTAACAAGCAGGCCCGCCCTTCCGCCAAACGAAGTTGCCAGCTTCGCTTCGCTGCGCCGGCAACTCCGTTCGGCAGGGGCCGGGCCTGCTTGGCCTGCCGGCGGCATTGGTCGGGCCTGCGGCCCGACCATTTCTGTCACGCGATTTGCTGTAGAACATAATCAAATGATGTAACGAGCCTTCGGCCCGCAAAGCCCGTCGTCCTTAAAATTTGCCCCGTAGACACGAGAAAGGGATGTAACGGTGAAACACCGCGACTACAACCCACCCTTCTGCTTAGAAAACGTTTTTTGGGGTGGGGGGAGGGAGTTTCTTACCTCTTTTGCGGTTTTGGGCCTTCTTTTACATTTAATTGTTCACTACAGCAATTTTTAACTTATGTTCGTCAAACAAGACCCCCTAGCGCCTAAACGGTTAGAGATAGAAGATAGAGCCAAACGGACGAAATTTTCGCCCACAGGGCTCTACTTTTGACAAGTTACCCCTTAGGAGACCATCTAATATTTTTTTAAATTAATATGTTCATTTTTGGGCCACTTTCGTGATAGAAACTCCCTCTAGCGCCTAAACGGTGAGAGATAGAGCAAAACGGACGAAATTTTCGCCCGCAGGGCTCTACTTTGATTAGTTACCCCTTAAGAGCTCATACAAAAAATATTTTTTGCTGACTTTTTTGACCTACCCCCTTTTCTTTGATACCCCCTTTCAGCCCCTTAGGGTTGGTTGCCAGGATTTGCCGTAGGCGTTTCGTTTTCTATTAGTGAACCTTAAGATTCCCTGAAAATTTGAAGTCTCTAGCACATCTCCTTCTAGTGGAACAGACAGACAGACACACAGACAGACACACAGACAGACAGACAGACAGACAGACACACAGACACGAGGTCGTTTGCATAAGCCCGCTGGATAGCTTTTTCAAAGCAGAAGGGCGGGCTACAAACAGGAAACTGTTTGGTAATACTGCTGCTTTTCATCCTGTTATTGAAGAATTACAGTTCCTGTTCAATGAGGGCATTGGGGTGCACAGCGACTGACCGTCTGAGGAACTGACCTCAGCAGAACTGTTCGCTCCGAACTGACCTTCCGATAGATTATGTAGAAGTTTGAAAACGCGCGCCTGCAGATTATGTCACATGATTGTAGGGGTCGTGAGTAAGCTATTATCATGCCACGCCACGCCACTCCATACCTGACGTGTATCGTGCGTGGGGGAAGCACCAGACGGAGTACTACACATTTCTCATCCTTCCCGCGTGAGAGAAAAGGTGTCACGAAATGATCCCTGCCACATAACCGATGCTATATATTGCAATTCGCAGTTACAACGTACGGACGTTACTCCTCTGATTCCGATGTGATGTATTTATTATTAAAATCTGGTAGAATACTGTGAAGTTTTGGATAGAAAGGGCAAGCCCTATGTGGTACACAAATAAAAAGATGAATAATAGACTTGATAACATTATTTATTTTTTAATCATTTATCAAACAGGAAATAAAAATTTAATGTATACACTGCTGGAACGAAAACTAAGATTTAACATTTACTATGCAAACAGGAATGGAATTCAGCACAATGGATAGAGGAAGCAAACAAGACGATTGATTAAGTAAACATTTATTTCAATAACTTGTTGACAACGTTCTTAAAATACAGCATACTTCTTTTATTTTCTCCCATTAGGTGAGAGCAGTGTCAGGAGTGTGTATGCGCACATTAAAGCAGTTGTGCAACAAGAACTGCCTAGTTCAGTGATATATAATAAAACAAAACTTTCATTACTTCAGCCAGCTCTTCGGCAGCACTTGCAACAGATAGACTAAAACATTCAAGAGGGTTATCAAAGTTTTGAATGCACAAAGTTTACGCCAGGGAATTGTACAAACTTAAAAAAAAAAAATTGTAAGAAAAATTTGGTGACCTGATGAAGTTTCAGTTCATCAAGGACTACAGATTGGCATAGGGGTTTTACTGAATTTTGAAAAATTATGCAGAAAGAAGTTACTTTGTAAATATGTTTTTACTCTGAATAAAAGATAATTTTTGTTTTTCAAAATTCAGTAAAACTTCTGTGTTGATCTAGATGTAGTCCTTGATGAACTGAAACAAAGAAGCTATCGACCAGTTTCTTATCACCACTTTTTCCGGAGAAATCCTGCGTATTAACTTTAAAGGAAGATATTCTATCAGAATAAAAGATCACATTTGGGACCTCTTTAAAGTAAAGTTCATGGCATTTTGATATTGTTAGTGTGTTAAGCCATCCTTTGTGTTGAGAAATGTACCCTCAGGTTCCATCCCAACACCTACAGTGGCTCAGAAACTAATGTTATTGACAAATGTACCAAAAATGCATTTTGGGAGATAAAAGCTCTCTATTACAGCCATTACTGTCAATAAATTTGAAAGCCCCCATTCTGATTCTTTGTCCAATCATACACACACATTTTAATAGAGGAATCAAAAACAAGGGATTACATTGAAAATTAAGTTAAAATTCAGTGACACTGATTTCAGGCAATCAACCATTTCCAAGCCTTTTCATCATGTAAATTTTAAACAGCTGCGTTTTTACTTAAGTGAAACAGTAAGAAATTAATGATTTTATGAAAAAATTGACAGAGCTTGAAAAGCAACCGTTAATTACTTATACTGAAAAATCACTGATGCTTCGAATCCTTACAAACTGCATTATGAATATGGATTGCATGACGCTCACCCACGACAAGCCAACAGAGATCCACTTATTTCATTTTTCAAACTAACAGCACATGCACATTCACAATTCACCGTTTTACCCTCATGCATCCATCAAAGTCGCAATCCAAATTCATAATGTATTGTCCTTAAAATGGCAGATATTGGATCAAGTTTGGAAAGCAAATTTGTCCAGTAGATATTTTGTACAAGACACTAAAGACCTGTTTTTCAACTTCAATGAGAGTAAGAGAGTGTTAATATTCTTGAAGTAAGAACGCAGTAGGAACAATACCAACACAACAAACATACTAATGAATAAGTAGTAAGATTTCATAGAAGCTGTAAGGAACGAGGATTGTTCCCTTCAAATCCATCTGAAATTGAACTGATTTGATCCATGTACAATTATTCTCTGCATCATATTATTAAATCCGGCTAGATTTCAAACTTAGAAAAAATGATTTTAAACTTCTTCAGAGTTCCTCCAAAAGTGCAGTGCATACTGAGTCAAAACACATCCAATTTTGAATATTCCATTGACGGTAATCATTTGGCCAATGAGTTACGAGTTGATATCCTTACTGGTACCTATCAGGAAGAGAAAATGAGAGTAAAAGAAGTGTCCAATAAAGTATAACTTCAAATAGTAATCTTGTATATCTTCAACTTACAGTCAATCCATCAACAGAAACACATCCAACCACAACTCATAAAGCAGAGTCAACAAGTTGTGTGTGAGATCACACACTAGGGAACCAAGTTTCATGAGATCTCTTGTTCACATCTTTGGATTAATAAATGGACAGTTCAATTTCGAAATAATTGTAGTCCTGACGCAACAATACCTGTGAAGAAAGCAAACAAACAGAAACAATGATTAATATGAAGAAAAGTATAAAGTGTCAGAGTAATATATGTAGAAAGAAATTCTGCAAAGATATACTGAAATAAATAGGAGAATCAACAACTTCCCTTCTATACTGATAACTAGACATTTACATGTGGAAAACTGCATAACACACTGGCAACTGACAGAGGTGCAGATAATAGTGATAAGGACCAACTGACACACCAAACACTTTCCTACACTGATGGGATCTACACATACTATAAGGAGTGTTTTAATGTAGCTGTATAATAGAAAGTTAAATGATGGCAATAACGAACAACTTCTGTCAGCAGGTTTTCATATACGTATCTGCCCACTACCTAGCAAATGCTCCTTGGGCCTGTTTTGTTAAATAGATAACAATAATAATAAACACAAATAGAGTTCAAGCTCAAACTCTAAACCAAGCCCAACTAGCTGCTCAGAAGAAAATATGCCAAGACACTAGCCTCAAATCAAAGACCAAAAACTCAGTTGGAAAAGCATACAACCACAAAACGCCTGTGATCAGAATTGTAATTTACATTTACAATTAGTATACAACCCCATATCTGCAACTTTCACCTACAAGGCTCTAAAAGCAAAGAGAGATTTAGCAACTGAATTTTTTGTAAAGCACCTCAAACATGCTGCCACTGGTTGCCTAAAAGGCTTTCAGTAACGTAAGCATAGGAAGAGGATAAGAGGTTCTATAGGCTTTTAGTAACTTAAAGCACAGAAGGAGATGTCTCCCACATGCATGTCACTAGTTGCCAAAAAACCAATGTGTGTGTGCCTATCGCCGGTTACCCCGAAGGATTTTCAGTGATTTGGGGCACTCTCACACAAAGTCAGTAACTCTCTTGCAACTCGAACCAGTTCGGTACTGTGGCAGAATGAGGTTGATTAGGAGAATATAAAAATATGAGCTAAACTGACTATAAAATTGAGTTTTCAATCAGTGAGGCTGGTTACCATGTGCATACTTAGACACTGAAGGAGATAAAACAAAATTTGTGATAAGACAGAGTTAGTTGTAGCTGGCAGAAATCTAGCAAAATGCAGAGTACAAAAAAGAGAAAGGTATATTCGCTCACCATGAGTGTGTGTTGCCAGTCGAAAGCAATGAAGCCTTCAAACCATCACAGCAATCAGGGAAGAATACCGTCTCATTAAATGTATCCTCAGTCAATAGTGTATTTCCAGTCGATGGTAATTAAACCTTCAAACCGTTACACAATCGAACAAAGAACACAAGTCGTGTTATACTCACAATGATGGCAAGTTGTAAGATTAGCCTAGCTCTTAGTCACTATCCAATCAGAAGCAGCACTTCTATTTTCACCCACAATAAAACAAAAACCCTTGATCTGGATCTAATACAATACAAGTTTGATATTGCTTGAAGAACAATCCATTCTAGTAGCAAACAAACCATTAGAAGTACGAGGAGATTAATCCATCTTCTATAATGCACATCACAAAACGAGGAGCAATGCAAATTTCAGCACAAACAAATCAAAAAGAGTAAGTACATAGGAAATCTCTTGAAGACTTTGCCAACATGAAAATAAAAATTTGGATAACTGTGTATGAGCAAGGTGTCACGTGAAACTTACAAGAATATGTTACCGGGTGTTGCTTCAATTTCTAATAATTCTTCATGACATCTTGTGGAACATCTTCTTTGCATAGTACTCAATGGGCTTCAACTGCATTTCTGAAAACAAAATGTGTGAAAGTAGTTAGTTTGACAGATATAAATTGTTATCCAGTAAAACAGTCTAACTTATTTGCTTCAGAATTTTGGACAACTGAGAAGTACTCAATGGAACTAAATGCAAAAATAAAAAAACAGGAGTAGGATTTTACATTTTAGCAGTCAGAAGAGAAAGTACAACAGACAGTTCTAGCAACAAATTTATCAGAAAATATTACTCTTCCAAAATTGCTAATAATGACCACACTTAAAGGCAGCGGATATAATGTCCCAGGAAATCTGGAAAACTGTGGGGATGTTTGACTGAAACCTTTGCAAATTTGGAGAGAGATGTAAGGAGATCAAACTTACAATGCAACCATTTGAAAAGAAGTATGTATGTGATGAGTAGCTTTCACTGAGACCAATAAGCAGCTGCAGAGAGTGTAATTGGTTTCCATCACGGATCCAGCTGTTTGGCAGAAAATTAAACAGGTTGGCTGAGGGAACACCATCAAATGTCTTGGAAATGCCAACTCACAGCAAAATAAAACAATTCATGAAGAGTTGTTTACCTCAGTAATTTCATAGCTAGATGTATTTGTCACATACCTGTGTAAAGTTCTCATTCACTTAGGTGTGTTATAAGAGAACTCCTTGTGCTATGAGCAGTTGTAAATTTGCATTAGTGAGTGCCACTTGAAAAGGTGGTTGCAGCAAATTTACAATGTTTCCAAGTCCAAGCCAAAGTCAGTCCTCAAATGTGTGGCTCACATATCAGTGAAGCTGAGGACAGAAATTTCAATTAATTAGTAACATAGTTTTTAGAAAACTTTGGGAGTAACATTATTACCAAGAGTCTTCCGCCTTCCTCAAAGGATCTTCACTTTTCCATTAAGAAGTATGATCTAAGGAGAGCTATTATTACCTGAGGCTGTCTTGCAGACTCATGTACATGCTTCTTATAGTAATCATTGTCCAGGCACTTGGTTAACGATAGCCATCCACAGAATGCTTGCAAGTTATAAAGCTCATTGTCTTCTTTGAAATGTGACTGCAAGGCAAGTTGGATGTTGACATTCTGACAATTCTTGAAACCCCTAGGGAAAGTTGACAAGTAACGGAGCTGACAGGCTGCAAGACAAAGTAATGGATCAGGACAGCAAAGAACTTTTACATGACAGTAGCATTTTGAAAGCTGTACCTAGTAAGTCTTCCCCCGCCCTTTCAAAAAAGATGCTGTGAGAATGTGATCCATGAAATTCTTGAAATAAGACTGCCACATCACAAGTCAGCAAATGTTGTTGAACATCCTTACCCCAATTTATTAAATCTTATAAAGGAGACATAGTACATTGCAAGCATTAATAAAAAAATAATGGATAAGTGATCATAATTGTATCTGGAATAAAGATAATTAACTACAGTACAGCTGTTAATATCCTGGATGAAAGTTCAGTCTATTCTATTCCAGGAACTTCATTTTTAAGAAAAGTAGACCTTAGCTTTCCCATTATTCCTTGTGGAAGAAGCTGCATGTACATATGAAAGAGTCAGTTTGCCTTTCCAGATCTGCAGATTTCAGTAATGGCACAATTCCCCCACTAAACACTTTCCTAGATGGGAAAATAAGATAAATTAATTCAAAAGTAATTTTAATATAGATAGTGTGCACAAAATATGAATAAAATATATGAGCTTTGTGGTAATAACTGCAGTGTGACTTACAAATAAGCAAAATAGTAACAATAAAATGATGTGAAGGACTACGCATCATTGACCCGGGATAAAATGTTAACTGAGGCAGGGCTGAGGTCACATTGCTGTTACCTGGGTACATCTGAGTAAAAACGCGATTAGCTCGCAATTGCTGATTCAGCCATATTCAGC